CTTTGGAGGGGGGGCCCCCTTTCCTCCCCCAACGAGAGCCCCCCCAAACTTTGGGGGGTTGTTAAGGTTTTACCCCAAAATTATAAAAATTTTTTTGCACTTTTTTTCCCCGTCCTTAGGGGCTTTTGGGGCCCCCCATTTTTCCCAAATATTGGGGGTGGTTTTTTGGTTGTTGTATAATTTACCAAATTTGCCCATTCCCCCCCCTTTTTTTTTATTTTCTTCCTGGAGTTCTTTTTTTTCTTTCTGTAAAAACCCCCCCCCCCAAAAAATGGGGGGTTTTTTTCCCTCCGGTTTGCCCACGGGGAAAGGGGTGTTTTTCTTCTTTTTCTTTTTCCCCCGGGGAGGTATACTTTTCCCCCGGGGGGGGGGGGGGGGGGGGGAGGTAGATCTTCCGCAATCTGCGGGACCTCGCAACTTGGATCTCGTTGAACATAAGAGGGCCACTCACAAACAACAAATAAGATATACCCTCGAGGCTAAAGGATCTCTTGTCGGCCGTTGACACGCAAGTGAACAGCAGGCGTCAGCAAACGCGTTCCTGCCACCGCGTCAAACAAATGACGGATTTTTTAAGGGTGTAATGAGGTGGTCTAGCTGTTATCCTCGAAACCTTCTAGAGGTCGGGTCAGGGGTTCGAATCCCGGCGTAAGCGAGCTTTTCTTGTAAAGTGAGTTTTTCTCGCGCTTCCGCTCCTGGTCTAGTCTAGTGGATAGCGCTAGTTCGTGTGTGTACACAGAGGGAAGAGAGTGCTGAACTCTCCTCGCAATAAAAATCGAAGGCAAAGTACCGCAGGAGGGGAGGGTAGAGAGGGCTCTTCTGTGTGACCACGGGTTGGAGTAAACGGCACTAGTGCTGTGAGCGCTGATTTGAAGCGAAGACAACACAAAAAAATGACGCTCGGTCGCCTTTTCATCGGTTCGACAGAGTACTGTTATGCTTTTGTGGTACTCGCATTTCGGGGAGGAAAGCAATAAGTGCACTTGGGGGCTCCGGGGTGTCAGTATCGGGGGTCTTTAGATTGCCAAGAACCCCTCCCGCACCGGGTTTGTGGAAAACATGCGCAGCGAAGCTTTCCTGTCCGAGCGCTAAAACAACAAACCTTGCCACGTTCGTTCTTTGTATTGGAGCTACATGGCCTTGTGGTGTGCGTGTGCGTGCCAAAAGAGTTTCGGGACGGCGAATCGACACTCCACGCCTCCCAACAACGACGGAATACAACGCAAAATATGTTTGCGCTGCGCTAACTGACAACAATGGATACAATCACCACGTAGCACACTTATCCGCAAGACGCTCCCCCCTCGCGTTCCATCCATCAGCACTGCCTGCGCAGGACCGAATTTCCACTATCATGCGATACCCGAACGAAAGTATTGAAATGAAACACAGACCAGCCCGCTCACCCCTCTTCGTGCTATGCATATGTACCAGGCAATCTCGGAACCGTGTCACCCAAGCTATACTATACAGCACACGATGTCGATCTTTGTGCTACCGGTGGTTTTGCTCTTTCCGGTGCTGGTCTGCTGGTTCCACTGCCACCTTCCTCCCCCCTGAATCGTGCCTGCGTACGGAACGCCGGCCCAAAATGAATAGGAGTGTTGTTGCACTGACCTTGTACCTGCTGAGCTCGCTCACGGTCTTGCCCTCCATCTCCCTCCTGCTACGCGTGAACATTACCCGCAAAGCTGCCAGCAGACGCCCGTCCACCTGGTGACACGGCCCCGCACCATCGGTAGCATACACAAGAATGAATGCACGACGAGGCTGCATGAATCGTAATCAGGAATGCCGGTCAGCGAGCGAACGAGGCTTACACCAATGGTAGACAATCGAGTCTATCCCAACACACGATAAGGCCACGCTACTGTAGATACGCAAGCCATCAGTATCGTTGGGGCCAAACCCTACCACCAAGAAACCAAAACAATCTACGCACCACAAATTCAGGGACAACCAAACCTCCACCTACCCGACCCCGCTCTTCCCGCCACATACCCCTGTCACGTGGTCCATTGCACGCGTGTGGACTATTTACATTTCATCGCACCGGCAACCTCCCGCTCGTTGAGTCCCCCCCCAAGTAGACCGTAAGGTCTTGCTCCGGTCCGTCTAGCTTAAGCTCAATCAGGGCCCGCTGCTGCCACGGTTCCAAGCCGTCTTGCTCGAACTTCGACCCGAACTGCTCGTCTAGGATGCCGGCGTGGATACGAGCGGCTCTCAGGATCTTCTTCTGCTCACGAAAAGGATGATGGAGAGACAGCGGCAGCGACAGCAGCAGCAGCAGCAGCACCAGCAGCAGCACCAGCAGCACCAGCAGCAGCAGGTAGCAGATTGTTACCAAGGAGCGAGAGAACGAAAATATATGCTATCTGTGCACGTTTTCACCCCTAAAGTCGAGAATACATACATCCCAAACAACTCCCTCTCGACAGCAGCGCTCGTAAGCCAGGACACACGTATGTACCTCGAACCTAAAATGGTTGCGCTCTCTTCGTCGGTTGATGTCCACGAACCCATAGTTGCACAGCCGTCGCTCGTTGCTGTAGTCCTCCTTCACCTCCAGGCTGTCGCCGGCAGCCACGGGGCGAGTCGCGATCAGCCAGACCTCTGGCTCTTCCGGCCTCTCGTACTCCCACTCTTCCTCGTCGAACTCCACCAAGATCCCCTCCCGGCCGTCGCCGCCGTCACCGCGATATCTCGGCCAAGCCGAGATCACCTGGACGGCAGCGGAACGAGCTGGATGAGTGTTGCTTGCCACCGCAGAACCGATACCAGTTCCAACAGTTCCCGGCAAAAAACAGAACAGGACCTGCCTGCGTACCTGGCTCCCGATCGATGCAGCGATGGTTGATGGATTTGTATCCACTTTCGGACGCAACAACACGCTTCAAGAATAACGGGGACGTGCCCAGAAGAATCCCCCCCCCCCCCCCCTCCCT